GAAGCTGGGAGATGAAACCTCGGAGAGACGAGTCCAGCCTTTTCGCGCACCGTGATCGTCGCAGATTCGAATCATGCCACGCCATGCCTATGGCTCTATTCAACGCCTGCGGGGTTATTCCATGAATCAGAGACAGGCCTGTGGTGGTATGGGAAGATAGGCGTAAGCAGAGAGGCACTGCAGGACGGCAGTGGCAACGGAACGAGCAAGCAAGCGAATGCGTTAGCGCGCCAAGCAGTCAAGCAGGCGCGGTGACCCGAATCCAGAGCGCAGCGGGCGGCGCGGCGACCGTCTGCGAACACTTGCTCTGGTTGACATCTCGAAGGCGTATCTCGCCTGCGGGGTACATTGTGCGCCTAACTCACTCGCCCGATCTCGCCACCGCCTGCGAAAGGCAAGCGAGGTTGGTCTCAGCGGGCGTCGATTGCGTGGATGGCCTTGGCTCAGTCTAGAGCCCACTGTCGCGGCGGTGCGGCGTCGGTGTTGATGTGCGCGTTGTCCGCCAAGTTACATAACAGGGCGAGACCAGACGTCTGGCATGGGATCATCAAGGCGAATTGGGCGAACGGATGGGCAAGCTGAGCGCAAAGGGCTTGGGCTCATTCGGATGTGGTTCTACGAGGACCTCACGTCGGAGGTCAGGACGAGTACGCGCGCGTGGACACTGGGAGGCTTCGGGCTTGGGCCTCTCTGCTTGGTACTTCGTAGTTCGGGCGACGTGGTTATTTCTGGACAACGCGTGGCGTGTGCTTTCTAGCCAAGCAGATGCGCGACCAGCAAAGGTGAGTCGGGCTTACTTACTCAGCTCAGCGGGCATGGCAGCACATGGGCGTGACGATGCGCCTGCGCACTGAATCCCGACTTACGTACCGCTGGACAATCAGGATCGGATGACGGAGAAATAGACTGTTGCCCGCTGTGGGGCCCCAGCCTGCAGGGGAGAGGCAGACGGAAGAGGAGGCCAATGTGACGATTGTGGTAACGGCAGCGGGGAAATAGCAAACATGGAGGCAGGAGACAAAGGAGCAGCAGACCACGGAGCTTCGCGTTTGTGTGTGTGTGTGTGTCTGCGTATGTGATCACAATCGCGAGGGACGGAACGAGGGCGAGTTGTTCACAGGTGGATCCCACCTCCCGTTATTCATACATTCGAGTCTATTTGTGCTGGTGGGCCGGTGCCATGGGCGATACGCGGTTGTGACACAGGCTGATTGCACCGATAGCGGGCGACAGACGGATTGACTTTCCTGGCAGCGCGCGCTGGAAACTCGGGCTGCCTCGAGGTTCGAACGCCCGCATTGGAGCCTCGGATGGATGCGGATCGTGCTGCTGGCGCCAGAGAGGCGACTGCAGGGTGACAAACGTCGTGGTCGGACTTATCGCGCACTGCGGATGCAATGGCTCGTTGGCATGAAGAAGGACCGGGTGGCATATCTGAGGGACCGACGGAGATGACGGTACTACAGTCTGTATTGCAGGTGGTAACACTGCCCATCTTGAGAGGGTGGCTAATGATCCCGGACATCATCCGACACGGTCAGACTGGCTGCTGCGCAGGATAGGGTTAGATTGGGTTTGGACAGAGAGGGACAGTATGATAGGACTGTATTGGAAGGCTTCCGGAAGACAGGAAGAGAAGGGGGACTACGCGAGAGAGAGAGGAGACTGCAGTGGGAAGTGGCTGGGATCCGGGAGAGAATGAGCCGGGAGAAGGGGAGACTTGGCAGGCGAGATAAGTGTGATTGAGCGTCCGGAAGATGGCAGAGGGTAGCGTGGGCTTGGAGTGGCGGGCATCATGCGATGATCCTGCGTCTCTCCTGCGAACAATGGGACCTCACTGGGAGTTTACATGCACGGGCACGAGCACTGGCGAAATGGCGGGAGTGTGACCAGTGTTCTAACAAGGCCCCGCCGGGACGTGCACGTCCGTCCCCGCCCCGCCCCCGGTCGATCGAATGCTTAGCCCTGGAGCCACACCCTCGCTTGTCGGATAATACTAGCCTAGTTTGGACTGATTGTGCACTTGTGCGGGCAGCAGCGTCCCCGCACAGCTTACATGCGGAGTGAGACTGCAGTAGACAGCCCGACGACGCAGAGCGCACACGCAGGACGACACGACGAGCGGAGGTGCGTTTCACGGCCGCGAGGCGAGGAGGCTGTTCGTGCCACTCTGCCATGGCGTCGGGAGGAGGCCGGAACGGAGGCATCAGCCGGGCGCCTACCCGGCAGGGCAGCCACAACCGCTGAGACCAGGCGCCTAAAAAGGAAAGGGCTCTGCTGACTCAGCAGGGCAGATGGAATAATTTTGCAGACAGCCGGAGTTTTGTTGCGAAGGCCACATCGCTCAGTCCTTCTTCTTCTTCCTCTTCCTCCTCCTTCTCCTCCTCCCTCTTCCGCCTTATATCTACCCTCCCTCTGCCCGCCATGTCCCCTCATCATACCTGCTAACACACGCCCAATCCTCCTCTCCTCGGCGACCAGCCCCTCTCAGGCTCACCAAGCTCGCCCCTGGACAGCCCCTGCTCGTCGTTCGCCTCATCTTCCCCCTCATCCCATCCCCGTCACCCTCCCCTCGTCGCACCACCATGTACAGGACATACTGTCCGTGTCCTCGACCCATCCTCAAACGTCCTGCGACAGAATCCGACCTCCCCACCACCTCCGTCGCTCGAGACGAGCCAGCTGAGCTCCTCGCCATCGACCGCGGTGTCCTCCAACCCGTCGTCCGCTTCCCCTCAAAACCCACCCTCTCCAAAACGTTCTCCGTCGACTCTGCTGCCCAGTATGACCGCTCGCCCATCGTAGTCCAACCTAATCGCTGTGCTCTCCCCGCCCGCGGCTGCCCAGGTCGCACCTACGCCGTCGACGACGAGCTCCATTCCCGCATGCCCCCCTCCCCCTCTCCGTCCGCCCGCTCTGGTCGCCACCAACATCCTCGTGCCTCGCCGTCGTACCCCCACCAGCGCGACGACGACGATGCCGAGGACGACGACCTCACCCCCCGCGCAACCCCCGTCGCAACGATGCCCGTCCTCCCTCCCCTTATCCCCGATCTATCTTCCGAGTCTGACGAGAGCGACGGCTTCGCGAGTCCTGCCCCTGACTATGCTGTCCCTGGTATGTCTCCCCGTGGGCTCTCACTGCCCTTGCTGACCGTCGTTGTGCAGCTGCCGCGTATGGTCGCACAGGCCTTGCCATGTCACGTACCAAAGCACACGGCGCGGACTCGCTCGGACTGAGCTTCTCGGCGATGCAGCTCACAAACTCGCCCAGTGCGCTTGCATTTCTCCCGCATCCGCCCTCGCCCCGCATGCGCACGTCGCCATCTGCTCCCGGTCACCCGCCAGAGCAGCTCGATGAGCGCGCGCGCACACGCCACCGCCTCTCGTCAGCCGCTCGTTCGTCGTCGCCCTCGTCGACGAGTCCCAACCGACAGAACTGCTGTAGTAGTCCCACGCGGAGACGTCATCGTCCGCGGGCGAGCGCAAGTCCGGATGCGCTGCGCGGGCGGTACAAGGCGTTGTCGGAGAAGAGCGCCCTGAGCGGATGCACGCTTGCCGTGCTCGACCAGGGTTGCCTGGGGGGCTTCTGAACGAGACCGAAAGATACGAATGAAAGCAGAACACTTAACACATTGTACAAAACTATGCAAGCACCCACGACCACACACACACTGTACGCAGGCAGTTGCCACCTTTTTCTAACTTATGCGTCCGCCTTGCGGCGCGTTTGCCACTTTTTTTTTGTTCTTTGTCATGATGTCGTTCATACTTTACGATGTACAAAATACTCAGCCGCGCATTTCCACCTTTTTCTTCGCTGCTTTTTTAAGTTCGGGTCATACCATCCGTGCGGTGTTGTTTGCGTTCACGATCATACCCATATTCGTATTATCGCCTCAATACATCGTTTCTATTCAGATTCTCATGGCTGCAGCTAGAGCAGGGTGTATGCGACTGCTCCGCGCCTTGTCCGACGTCAATGTGCGGTGTTCGCTTCAAAGGTTCTATCTGTGATCTAGTCTGCGCACTCACACTGGCGTCCTGAACAAATATACTACGCGGGGGCATGGTGATCCGTGAGTTCTGCCTGTGCGTCGCCTGTGGCCTGACATGTGCTTATTGTTGCCTTAGATTGGACGGTACAAGAATAGTTCAAGTATGTATGCCATCGTGTGTGCACGGCAAATATCTTTTACTAACATGTCGATTTGCATCTTTCTAGCGCGATCCTCTGCATTGTACATAAACGGTGCGTTGCTTGCATCTCGCTAGCGTCGGGTTATTACCCTCTCGTCTGCGCTTGTGTCGCTGTCATCCTGTTCACCTCGTGCCGCTTGTGATCTCAGGCCGCGGATAACCTGCTTCTGGATTGAACATCCATTCGTCTGCACTGCTGGATTCAAGCATGTATGTCATCGTGGGTGCAAGCTAGACGTCTTCGACTACCTAATCGACTGCTATTATCTGCAGTCTTCAAGCACACGGCACAAGGGCATGAGTTCTTTGCGGAATTGAGTGCAGCGATAGCATCTTTTGCATCCCAGCAGATGTGGGATTCTGTCCCCATTCGGTTGCGGCCTATCCGCAGCGCCTATTGGCTGGTCGAGTTCCTGTCGATGGGTGGGATCTTGCACGTCTTGCATACTCATATAAGATCTATGGACAGCCTTTCACTCGACATCCGACGCGTGCTTGAATTAGACTCAGAACACGCCCCCGCGAGCAGCCCTCCCCAGCGGCGGTTCAGTACCTCAGCTATGTCCACGCACGTTGCACTGATCGCCGTCGAGTACCCAGCCTGCACGGCGACTGCGCCAGCACATTCTCTCCCAAGGGCTTGAAATCGCCGCCTTCACGCAGCGGACCCGTACACGCCCGCTGCGCGTCGCATCGCGTCACGGCGCATGTCCGAGATTTGAGTTGGAGAAGCCCCAAATTGCCATTCAGATGAGGGGCCCTTCGCACCGCGAGATCAATGGTCACGGTGCGATGGCCGGGATGACTGGATATGCAAATCAATACCGCGTCGTGATTGGCATGATGAAGCGGCGAGGAGTGGAGCCCCACCAGGTCAGCTGTGCAGCGGACGTCGTCGAGCTAGTGCCCAATGATCCGGCGTGCCCGCTGAGCTGATTTGACCAACTCTGAAACTGTGAGAGTCGAAGGTCCCAGGACGCACGTCGACGTCTGCTCCTTCCCCGGAGCATGTGAGAATCGGTATCCTTCCCCAGCGTGCCTACGTACTCGTACTCCGGCTCTTACGGCTGCAGCTGCACGACGGACACCTCCAAATCATCAACGCAGGGTGTCGGTGACAATTGGCTGGAAGACGCACGGCTCACGAGACGCGATGGGCCTTCGAATCAATAATAGCAGACCGGGACGCCTTCCGAACCGCCAGGTGGTTGCGGGCGTTGGAGGCGACATGTGCGCTCGCGTGGTGTACTGCATGCACATGCTCGCCGCTCAGCCGCTCGTTGAAATCCGTTCCAAAGCCTTTTCGGCAACTGCAGTGAACACAAACAGGCTCCAAGCTCAGCG